TTTGCAAGCCCATCTCGGTGAGACCGAGATCCCATCGGTGAGACCGAACTGATTAGGGTTTGGCAGTGGCTTATGACAAGTGAAACTCGGTGGCGCCAGATAGGAAGAATCGGTAGGACCGAGTTTGGCTTAGGGTTTAGGTCATATGTGGAAGTGGGAAAGTAGCTGAGGGTTTTGGAGCATATCACTAAGCACATGAAGCAAGAGGCTCATTAAGCAACACCTCATCCCTCCTTGATAGTATTGGCTTTTCCTAAAGACTCAATGTGATCTTGGATCACTAAAATGTAAAACGATGAGTCTTGAGCTTGAAGCTTTAGCCAATCCTTTGTCCTTAGCATCTTGAAGGAGTTCCCACAACCTTTAGTCCATGCCACTCCATTGTTGAACTTATCTGAAACATGATAGATCGAAATGTTAGTCCAATAAGAGATATGTTGTCATCAATTATCAAAACCACCTAGGGAGCACTTGTGCTTTCAAAAGGGAAGAAAGGGAACTTCAAGAAGAATATCAAGCCAGTTGCTGCTCAAGTAAAGAAACCCAATTCAGGACCTAAGACTGAGACTGAGTACTTCTACTGCAAAGGGACTGGTCACTGGAAGCGGAACTGCCCCAAGTATTTGGCGGAGAAGAAGGATGGCAAAGTGAAAGGTATATTTGATATACATGTTATTGATGTGTACCTTACTAATGCTCGCAGTAGTGCCTGGGTATTTGATACTGATTCAGTTGCTAACATTTACCACTCGAAACTGGGGCTATGGATTATGTGAAGATTGGCTAAGGAAGAGGTGACGATGCGCGTGGGAAATGGCTCCAAAGTCGATGTGATCACCGTCGACACGCTACCTCTACATCTACATTCGAGATTAGTTTTAGACCTAAATAATTGTTATTTGGTGCCATCGTTGAGCATGAACATTATATCTGGATCTTGTTTGATGCGAGACGGTTATTCATTTAAATCAGAGAATAATGGTTGTTCTATTTATATGAGTAATATCTTATGGTCATGCACCCTTGATGAGTGGTCTATTTTTACCAAATCTTGGTAGTAGTGATACACATGTTCATAGTATTGAAGCCAAAAGATGCAGAGTTGATAATGATAGTGCAACTTATTTGTGTCACTGCTGTTTGGGTCATATTGGTGTAAAGCGCATGAAGAAACTCCATTCTGATGACTCTAGTGCAAGTGGGAGACTGAAGAAAATATGCCCTAGAGGCAATAATAAAGTTGTTATTTATATTTCCTTATATCATGATAAATGTTTATTATTCATGCTAGAATTGTATTAACCAGAAACTTAGTACATGTGTGAATACATAGACAAACAGAGTGTCACTAGTATGCCTCTACTTGACTAGCCCGTTGAATCAATGATGGTTATGTTTCCTAACCATAGACATGAGTTGTCACTTGATTAACGGGATCACATCATTAGAGAATGATGTGATTGACTTGACCCATCCGTTAGCTTAGCACGATGATCGTTTAGTTTGTTGCTATTGCTTTCTCCATAACTTATACATGTTCCTATGACTATGAGATCATGCAACTCCCGAATACCGGAGGAACACTTAGTGTGCTATCAAACGTCACAACATAACTAGGTGACTATAAAGATGCTCTACGGGTGTCTCCGATGGTGTTTGTTGAGTTGGCATAGATCGAGATTAGGATTTGTCACTCCGAGTATCAGAGAGGTATCTCTGGGCCCTCTCGGTAATGCACATCACTATAAGCCTTGCAAGCAATGTAACTAATGAGTTGGTTACGGGATGATGCATTATGGAACGAGTAAAGAGACTTGCCGGTAACAAGATTGAACTAGGTATTGAGATACCGACGATCAAATCTCGGGCAAGTAACATACCAATGATAAAGGGAACAATGTATGTTGTTATGCAGTTTGATCGATAAAGATCTTCGTAGAATATGTGGGAGCCAATATGAACATCCAGGTTCCGCTATTGGTTATTGATCCGAGACGTGTCTTGGTCATGTCTACATAGTTCTCGAACCCGTAGGGTCCGCACGCTTAACGTTCAGTGACGATCGGTATTATGAGTTTATGTGTTTTGATGTACCTAAGGTAGTTCGGAGTCCCGAATGTGATCACGGACATGACGAGGAGTCTCGAAATGGCCGAGACATAAAGATCGATATATTGGATGACTATGTTTGGACATCAGAAAGGTTTCGAGAGAGTTCGGGCATATACCGGAGTACCGGGGGGTTACCGATACTCCTCGGGGAGTCAATGGGCCTTAATGGGCCATAGTGGAAAGGAGGAGGAGGCGCCCAAGGTGGAGGCGCGCCCCCCAAGCCGAATCCAAATTGGGAGGGGGCCGGCCCCCCTTTCCTTCTCTCCGTCTCCCTATTCCTTCCCTCTCCTACTCCAACTAGGGAAAGGGGAATCCTACCCCCACCGGGAGTAGGACTCCCCCCTTGGGCGCGCTTAGGAGGTCGGCCCTCTCCCCTCCTCCACTCCTTTATATATGGGGGAGGGGGCACCCCATAGACACACAAGTTGATCATTGATCTCTTAGCCGTGTGCGGTGCCCCCTCCACCATAATCCACCTCGGTCATATCGTAGTGGTGCTTAGGCGAAGCCCTGTTCCGGTAGAATCATCATCACCGTCATCACGCCGCCGTGCTGAAGAAGCTCTCCCTCGACACTCTACTAGATCGTGAGTTTGTGGGACGTCACCGAGCCGAACGTGCGCAGATCGCGGAGGTGTCGTACTTTGGGTACTAGGATCGGTCGACCGTGAAGACGTACGACTACATCAACCGCGTTGTCATAACGCTTCCGCTTACGGTCTACGAGGGTACGTAGACAACACTCTCCCCTCTCATTGCTATGCACCACCATGATCTTGTGTGTGCGTAGGAGAATTTTGAAATTACTGCGTTCCCCAACAGTATCCATACTTCAAGGTGAGCACTTTATATGTTCTTGTAGTTCATGCCTTGATATGTTGTTATTGTTCTGTACTAGACTAACAACATATTGTAATGCCATTCCAGGATTGCATTGGAGCAATAGATGGTACTCATGTCACTACCAGAGTACCGAGCTCACAAGTTGCAACATATAGAGGGAGGAAGCACCACACAAGCCAGAATGTGCTAACTGCTGTTGACTTCGATCTGAAGTTCACATATGTGCTAGTTGGCTGGGAAGGATCAGCACATGATGCTAACATTCTCAGTGACAACATGAGTCGTCCTGGTGGCATCAACATCCCTGATGGCAAGTTCTACCTTGGAGATGTTGTCTATGCATGTCGGCCAAGTGTTCTTCCATCCTTCGGGAAAACCAGGTACCATCTGAACGAGCTTGCTGGTAGGAACTATTCTAGGACTCCTCAGAAACTGTTTAATCTCAGACACCCCAGCCTTAGAGTCACTGTTGAGAGGGGGCTTTGGAGCTCTGAAGATCAGGTTTAAAATCCTGGATTAGAAGCCATTTCACCCTTACCCTACCTAGGTGAAGCTTATTCTTGCATGTTGCATCATTCACAATTGAATCTTGCAATGGGGAGTTGATGAATTTGTGCCGGAGGAGGAAGATGTGACTCCTGATGAGGTGATTAGCTCCGACCATGGTGTGGAGGCGTTCGAAAAGAAGCATGGAAGAACAAAAGGATGAACTGGGCTCAGGCAATGTGGGATAATAGAGGTCAGACAAGGATCTAAAGCAGAAGAACAAGAGGAAGAAGATAGAGGGAGCAACAGAAGCAAGGAAGAGGAATCACCTAGTTAGTATCATTGAACTATCCTTATTCAACCATGTTGGCTCTTAATAACTTGTACTGTACTGCCATTTGCTAGTAGCTAGGATAAACTGCCATTTGTTTCCTAGCTAGGACAAAACAATGTTAAGTGTGTGGTAAGATCACCACTAATGAGAAGTGGTGATCACATCTTTAGGCGTTTGCAACTAAACAGCGTGTTTAGGGCTGAAATTCGAGCCGAGTCGAGCCAGCTCGGCTCGACTCGCTAGAGCTCTTTTAGTTAACGAGCTAGCTCGACTCGACTTGTTACTATAACGAGCTCAAACCCAAGATTGGCTCGACTTGTATAACTCGCGAGCTGCCTCATTTAGCTTGTTAAGCTTGTTAAAGATATGAACATAAAACCTCAAATATGATAAAAATGATTATGTATATATTAAACATATACATCGCCAAACAATTGTAATTTTCTTGTAACGCATGAGTCTCTTGGGTGGCTGGGCCTTCAATTGTAGGGCCATGTGTTGTGTGCCTGGGATGCGGGGTGTTGAGTGGCTGGTCTTTTTTTGGATTGGGAGTGGCCGATCTTTTGTACCGATCCTAACGAGTTACACGAGTACTCGTGAGATTGACTCGTTTAACTCGCTCTATAAACGATCTTAAACTAAAGCTCGGCTCAACTCGTTATTCTTCGAATTCAAGTCAATTCGAGCCGAGTCACGAGCTACTCGTTTAGCTCGCGAGTTGCAGCCCTAAACGTGTTGCTTGTTTACCGACAACGGTGCAAGCAACCAAATAACGTGCTGACTAGTTGATTCCCTCATGCAGAAAACCTAATGTAGGTAACCAAACTACATGCATAGGTTGGTTTTTAGCATGCATCTGCCCAACTAGGCTCAACTGGGACAAGTATGTAAAATGCTAAAAAACAAAGATGTGAACCAAACACGCCCCAAAATGATATAGAGGCCGGGGTAATCATTGTTTTTTGAATAAAGAAAAACATACGTGTTTTACTCCTCTACTTCGGAAATAACTGACGTGTTTCTACTTTGAAGTAAATAAAACCGGGCCAGTTATTTCCGAAAGAAGGGAGTAGCATTTTGTTTAAAGAAATTTCGAGCGGCAGTGCAGCACTGGTTGAAATGGGGCTAAAAAACGCCAGAACCCGACGGCACGTTCCCCATTCCCCTTATCCAGAGGCGGCTCCCTCTCTTTCCCCTCTGTAAAACCCCTCGCGCAGACAGCGGCAATGGCGATGGCGTCGCCGCCAGCCTGCTCCCTCCTCCTCCCGGCCATTCCATCCGCGCCGGCCTACGCTAGTGTCCCACGAGCGCCCCGGTTCCTCACCTGCCCCCGCGCTGTAACGGCCCACCGACCCCTTCCCACGGCCTCCTCACCTAAGGTCGCGGCGCCCGCGGCCATCGAGATCCCAGAGGAGTACGCGGATGATGTCGAAGCGGTGAACATCGCGGTGGACGTCACTCAGGTGCGCTGTCTATTCCCATCCTGATTGTGTTTCCTGCTTCGTCAGAGTGGTATGGGAGGCCACTGAAGCCATTAAGATTTTGTATTATGGTCTAGGGGAAGTGGGGGTTCGCTGCATTGTTACGGAATATTTGGATACATTTTTGTAATACTTGATTAGACTGTGAACATCTTCTGTGGTCACCAAAAGCATGGATTTTAAATATCGATAGAGGCCCTATTTTACTCTCCGAAGCAATCTATGTGAGGGATATTGGGCTAAATCCCAGTTTATTCTGTCTATCCTGTTGATCAGCTAATTGGAAAGACCCCAATGGTATACCTAAATAATGTCGTTGAAGGTTGTGTTGCGAACATTGCCGCAAAGCTCGAGTACATGGGGCCTTGCCGAAGCGTCAAAGACAGGTATACATCGTTATCACACTATGTATTGGAGTGCTGTTTGTGCCGCTTCTCACTCAATATGTTTTCCAGGATTGCATTAAGCATGATTAGTGATGCAGAAGAGAAAGGATTAATTTCTCCAAACAAGGTTTGATTGTCCATATATGCTAAATTGTAAGAGTATTGTCACCATGAAGGTACTAAATTACGCAGATATTGTATACATTTGCAGACCATTTTGGTAGAACCAACTACTGGGAATACTGGTATAGGACTAGCTGCAGTAGCTGCTGCTAGAGGATACAAAATGATAGCAACTATGCCTTCATCGATAGATGTTGAGAGACGCATCCTTGTACGTGCATTTGGAGCAGATATTGTGTTAACTGATCCTACAACAGGACTAAAAGGAGCTGTTGACAAAGCTGAGGAAATAGTTTCGAAGACACCGAATGCATACATGTTTCAGCAATTCAACAATTCAGCTAACAGTGAGGTTGAGACTTCGGGCCATTATCATTTACTCATATGCTATCTGTGACACGGCACATGTGAAATTCATTTGCCAACTTCTTTAAATGATCTATTGAGAAACCACTTGGGTAATTACAGATCCACTTTCAAACCACAGGCCCAGAAATATGGGAGGACACACTGGGTACTGTTGACATACTTGTTGCGAGCATTGGGACTGGCGACACTATCACCGGCACTGGGCGCTACTTAAAAATGATGAATAGAGATATTAAGGTTTCTAATCTTACTCTCTCATCAAGTAGTTTCAGATTTTAAGAAAATTGCATTAAAATGTTATTGTGTCAACAACTTCACCCATTTTCTGCATATTTTTCCAATATTGTCGCATTACATCTTAATTCTTCTGCTGTCGTTGGTGGATGCTCTCGTTTACTCCATGCTTTAACTTTGTGAAGTGCTTAATGTGAGGAGATATGCAGCTCGTGTTTCCTGGAGGCCAAGGGCCAGTATAAATATACAAAGTACAGGCAGAAGTATACACAAACCCCCTTATAACAATGTTTAATATGATATCCTATACATTGAACTAGTATATGTCTACACTTGAGATCTGAGTGTTGCTCCATTGGCTAGAGGCACCCGTGCTCACACATCCCAGGCCTTAGTTGGAAATAGCTCACCGGTCTGCTACTAAATGTACTGCTTTACCATTTGCATATTTTGGAATTTAGGTGAATTTGCATGCACTACTATTTAACTTACATAAGCGTACAAGGCTGATATCAATATATCCATGATTCATATGATCTACAGATTTAGCATATGGCCTAACATTCCATAACCTGAAATTGTTTGACAGTGTTCATGTATTTTGTAGTCAAATTTAATATATTATAACATTTGTGTTGTCCTGTCATTATCAGGTCATCGGGGTAGAACCTGCTGAAACTAGTGTGATTTCTGGCGACAAGCCAGGTAAATTTAATAGCACTTAACAAATGGATGTATTTGAGATATGAGCTTATTGAATACAACTTCCTTGGAATTGACGCCTTAATGTCACAACAACAGGTTATATTCCAAGCATACTAGATGTTCAGCTCCTTGATGAGGTTGTGAAGGTCTGGAATGCAACTCTAGTATTCTGTTTATGTTTGCAGATTTAGTTGACTCTTCACAGTTCTTGTCAGCTGTTATGTTGATTATGGTTGTTGAACTTGCAGGTTACCACTGCAGAGGCAGTTGATGTTGCAAGGCTACTTGCACTAAAAGAGGGCTTGCTGGTAAGGAAGTGCACAACCAAATAGATTATTATCGAGTTATCAGTTTGGCATTCACATGGGTTGTTTGTTTTCACAGGTTGGCATTTCGTCAGGTGCTGCAGCAATTGCTGCTATAAACGTGGCCAAAAGACCTGAAAATGCTGGAAAGCTGATTGCGGTGAGATATTTCCGTTGATTTGAACATGTTGCCATTCTGGCATGGCTACCGGTTTATAGATGTCCTCCTATAACCCACTCACCAGATGGTTAATGACATGAATTTGCAGGTTATCTTCCCCAGCTTTGGAGAAAGATATATCTCTAGCATTTTGTTCCGGCCGATATACAACTCTGTTCGAAGAATGAGGAAGAGATGACTGACTTCACCCACTCCAAGAAAGACGGATCCGACAGGTTTCCACAGCATGACAAACATAACACATCAAGCAGGGCTGAGGTGTAGAATGCTCCGGCAGCAGAAGGGCACGGGTCGTAGAAGTTTGAAATATGGGCGGAGTTGCTGCCGAGTGGGCTGCAGGACTGCATGAACTTGGTTCCATAAAAACCCGAGGGAAGGGAAAATCATGAGTTGTTGTATACTGTATTATCTGCCTCAAACGTTTGGAACTCGGTGAAACATGCAGAGCTAGATGCGGTAGTTCGCTTAGGATCTTTGTTTGAGTAGTCTAGGGCCTGGAACAAACCAGACTTGTCATCTGATATTTGACTGATCTCACTAAATGGTCTCCTATCTTAGTTGGTGATTGGTTCGTTCAGATTGAGCTCGTGAGTTACTCCATCCGTCTGGAAATACTTGTCCTCGAAATGGTTGTATCTAAACTTATTTTAGTTATAGATACATCAATTTTATTCAATTTCTAGGACAAGTATTTCCGGACGGAGGGGGTACGTTTTTGGGTTCAAACAAATGGTTCTGAATATTGCATACTCTCTCCTTTGCGGTTTGTAGTATGAATCGTACTCCCTCCGTCCCAACTACTAAATCAAAGACAGTTATTTTGGGACAGCCACCAAGGTTATATCGTTAAAAAAATCTAACATTTGAAAATTTTAATGGTGTTTCGTTGTTGTTGTGATATATAACTTGCATTTTGTTCTGTCAAACTAACGATATTGAATACGAGTGATTTCTGTTACCTCTGCTGTTCTTTGTATTGTAATGTGTTCTTTGTACTATAGTGACAGTAAAGTTCTTTGTACTGTAATGACAGTTGATAGATTGAACATTTGTATTTACGTTCTTTGTATTGTAATGTGTTCTTTGTACTATAGTAACAGTTAAGTTCTTTGTACTGTAATGACAGTTAATAGATTGAACATTTGTACTCCTTCCGTTCCGAATTACTTGTCTTGGATTTGTCTAGATATAGATGTATCTAGACTTATTTTAGTGCTAAATACTTCCGTATCTAGACAAATCTAAGATAAATAATTTGGAACGAAGGGAGTAGTAAATACGTGCACGCATATCCTTCGGCTGCGGCTTAAGGCAATTAGGAGGCAATTAGGGTTGTTTGCCTCCTGTCGGCGGCACGGCAGGTCTATAATGACAGTTGATTAATAGATTGAATATTTGTTGTAAACCCGTACACGCATACCCTTCCGGTGCAACTTAAGGCAACTAGGGTTGCTCGCCTCCAATCGGCGCCACCGTAGGTCTATCCTGTCTCCTGTGGCCTTAGGCCATGGGGCGCGATGGATCTCGGCCCCTTGCCGGTAGGAGGGCTCCAACTCTGTTTTAGGTGTCTTTTTTTGTTTGTTTAGACTTTGTTTTTTGCTTAGAAGATGAGACAACAACAGTTCTCTGAAGATGAAATAATGTTCTCTCCGCCTAGCCCCGGCCTCGGCGGTGCGGCTAGCCTCACCGGAGGGCATGTGGAGATGTGTCTCCGGTGGAACCCATAGGATTTGGTTGGTGTTTGTCTTCAGTGGATCTGCTTACATTCGGGCTTCATTTGTCTACATTCGTGTGCCTGCATATTGCTATTCTGGTGCGCTGATCCTATGGGATTCTAGCATGATAATTTCTCGACTATCTACTAAACAAGGTTTGCCCAGCTCCAGTGATGAAGAGGTGATGACGGCGGCGCGCCTTCGACTCGCTATAGTGACTATAGATATTGCTAGGTGGTATATGGAACTGGACATTTTTTTTACTTCTGATGTTCTCAGCAGGACAGTTGATGGATAGATAGAAAGTTTCTGAAATAAAAGAGATGAATGAATTTCTATTTTTATTTTTAAGAAAGAAACGAACAAACCCAGTAGTACTGCAGATATAACAAAATAATCCAAAGTCCAAACGCTCATTCGTGGGACCCATCGGCAGGGACCGATTTGGCGGCGCGGGTTCCTGATTTCTCTAGCTCGCCGAGGCGCCGACGAAGGCCTGCACCCTGCAGCAAAGCCAGCCACTACCGCAGCGAAGGCCCCGGCGACGGCATAGACTACCTACCTTCCTACGCCCGCGCGGCCGCCTCTGTCGCTGCAGCCGCCCCGCAACTCTCCAGCGGTGATTCGGTCGAGCCGAACATGTCGGCGTCCGATATGCCCGACGAGCTGTGGGCGCGCGTCCTGGAGCTCGGCGCCGCCTCCGCCGCGCTGGGGTTCCGCGACCTCTGCTGCCTCGCCATCGCCTCGCGCCGCCTCCGCCGCCTCTCCCTCCACCCCTCCCTCTGGTCGGCGCTCCTCTCCCGCGACTTCCCCTCCCAATCCCAGCCTTCCTCCTCTTCGCAGCAGCAGCAGCCCGATCCCAAATCCCTCTACAGGACCAAGTAGTTTCCCGTCCCCGCCTCTTCGTTCAGATTATTTATTTATTCCCCCGTCTGAGCGCGTGACTTGTGCTCCGCTGCAGGTTCGAGAGGCACAAGCTGCGGATGGCGGAGGCGAGGCGGCGGGCGGTGTACGAGGCGGAGGGGCGGGTGGTGGCGTGCCGGAGGCGTCTCACGGAGCTGGAGGAGTCGATGTGCGCCGAGGGGGATAGGATGAAGGCCACCGCGCAGGAGCTGGACAGCCTCGAGAGGGTCAGGTTGGTTCTGATTCCTCACCTGTGTTTTCTCTTCTAGAGTGAATTTCGCTCTTGATGCTATAAATCATATGCGATGTGGTAACCGGAAACAGCAAATTACCTAAGTAGCTAATGCAGAGGGTAGAAAGACGCTTGGTATTATCTGAAGTTGGCACGTTGGGAATGACAATTATCCAATTATCCCCTAATATAATTGGTCCTGAACTGGCCGTAGCATGTATAGGCAACAGTAGGTATTGCTCAAGACAGATGCTGGCATGATCCATTGAGCTACTTCTCTACACATAAGCTGGACTGAGATTGTCCCGCCCTTCCAATTTAAGGCCTCTTATACGCCACCCATTATCAAACAGCCCCTTGTACCCCTGTCTAGCAGCCAAGACTTGCTCTGAAGTCGGAGTGATAGCTTCCATGTTTATTTGAGCTGCTTATCTGTGCAAGAGCTGGTCCGACGTAGTCTCTTGGCTCAAACATTCAACAATAAACAGCTGCTTTTGCTGCCTTTAGACCTGAAAAGGGAAAATTATCTCACATCAATGCTCTATGGTTGTTATAACTTGGAATGATCCATTAAATTTAGAAGCATCTTTTTTATTTGGTTGTATGTATCAGGGTAAAAAACCACTGTTTACAATTTTAGTTGACGGAGTGCGGAACAATTGTACTCCCTCCGTTCCTAAATATAAGTCTTTTTAGAGATTCCACTACAAATTACATACGGATGTATATAGACATATTTTAGAGTGTAGGTTCACTCATTTTGCTCCGTATGTAGTCCATAGTGGAATCTCTAGAAAGACTTATATTTTAGGAATGGAGGAAGTACCTTATTTGGCAACATTCTGGCCTGTTCTGGTTGTGCATTAACATGAAAACAAAGTTAAATGATACCTATTGTAAATAATGGGTAGTGTTGAGTTGTCACGTTCTGCACATGTGTTGTCATTGTTTCTGTTGTAACTTCACATCCTAGTCTTTAGGCCTTATTATCCTGAGCATGATCCAAGCATGCAGGATCCACGTCTCTCTCCCATGTATATGTACCATGGCACTCAGTGAATATAAGGTGTGCGTCAATCATTCTTCAACTTGGTAATTAGAACCATGTCAACCAGCCCCACTCACTCCTCCTTTGAGACCCTTCCTTCCTGTCACCAGCGAGGGCGGCGAGCTTCCCGCCGCAGCCCTTTCTGCTGACGCTGCTGTGCGCCCATGCGCTCCGGCTACCGAGGATCTTTCCCAGACGGTTGGTCTTCCACTTTCTGCCCTCCCCCAGGCCGCCTCCTCTTCGGTTGCTCTCTGCTGCCGCCGACCCTTCCTCCTCCATCCCGTCCATCTACGGGCTGAACATCATTGGTGTTATTGACTTCACGTTGGCTCTTGACAGCACCAATTTCTCCCGATGGCGTTCTTTCATCAACATGTTACTCAGCTGCTACCATGCACGCAACCACGTCCAGGTGGGCACTGCTGACCGGCTCTCTAATCCGATCTGGAGAGACGACGACGACACCATAGTGATGTGGTTCTTCACCACCATTTTCGGGGACCTCGACATTGTCGCCCCAGTTGACTCGGCGGCGTACACAATTTGGACTCTCCTCCACGAGTACTTTGAAGCAGGAGTTACGGCCGACTGTCTGCGGCTATTTGTCCATCAACGAGTATTGTGGACGCCTATAAGGCATCTCTATGGCTCTTTCCGACATCCAGTCATCGATCAGCTACTGCACACTTACATTGCAGATGCTTGACGAACTCGAAAAGAAATTCGAGATGCAGGCCGCGATTCTCCAATTGACCGCCCCCTGCCTACCTTTGTTCAAGACTGTTCATGCCTTGTTCTCGCCGGAATCTCCATCAACAAGCGCGCCTGTGCAGAGGGCTCGCAGTTCCTTGCCGTCCACTCCGACGATGACCGCGGCGATTGTGGCGCCGATTGTGGCGGTGCTCGATAGGGCGACCGGGCTCCCAACGGTGACGGTGGCCTTGGGCATGGTCACGGAGATGCTCCCGGTGGTCGCAGCGCTGGGCAGTAGCCCTCGCTCAGTTACTTTGCTCATATAGGATGCCCTTCCCTCCACCACTCGGTTACTTTGCTCATATAGGATGCCCTTCCCTCCACCCCGCGCACCCTAGATACGATCCAACTCTACTGGGGTCTTCGGTCCTCAGACCTGGCATCCAACACGCCTATCCGGTGATGTACCCGGTGCACCGGCTCTGCCTACGCTCGCTCCCTACAGGACCACGCCGCCATGTTCCATGTTGCACCAAGCCACGACTTGCCCTTTCCTCCTCAACCCGAGTGGTTCATGGACATGGGGGTGGCCTCACACGCCGTAACAACCCAGGTATATTGACCTTGTCTTATTCCCCTTT